TCCACCGTCATCCCTGCCTGGCCCCCGGGGGACGAGGCGGTGGGGAGGGGGCGGTGGGGAACGGAGTCACTCACGTGGACCGGGATGTAGATGTCGTAGTTGTTCCCGGAGTCCACGTCGATGGCATGGAACCCGGCACAGGAGCCGTAGATGACCTTCAGCCGCTGGCCCTCCTCCACCGTCAGCTCCACCAGCAGCGGCCGATGTGGCAGGTCGGCAAAGGACTGCAAGGGGGGGGGGGATTTTGAGGGAAATCACTCACCAGAGCTGCACAGGGGGGGGCACCCCTTTTCCCTGGCCCCTCCACCCACCGGCCGGTACCTTGAAGGCCATGAACTTGTGGTAGGGCTTGGGGGCCCAGGCGTAGACCTCCACCGAGCTCTTCAGTGCAATGACCAGGAACTTGATCCGCTCGTACTTCACTGCGGGTGACAGGGAGCCACGTCAGGGCCGGACCCTCGGAGCCCCCCCCCAAGTGGAGTAGAGGGCCCCTCCCTGCCCTCCCCCGGCAGTTCCCTGATGCTCTTCCCTGTGAGCCCCCAAGGGGGCGTCCTTCCGCAGCCGGGCCCTCGCTCACCCACGCGGTAGTGGATGCAGCCCTCCATGTCCCCCACGGTGGTCCAGCCCTGCTTCTTCTCCACTTCGGGGTCATTGTGCAAAATCTTGTTGCGCAGCCAGGAGAGGTAATAGACGCGCAGCTTGTTCCTCTTTCCTAGAGAGGCAGGGAAGGGGCAGCGGGGGGTCACTGCCAGGCAGGGAAGGGGGAAGCGGAGAACCCAAAGGGAGCGGGGGGCCTCTTGGGAGGGGATCCCCCCCTCTTGCCCCTGCCGGCCCCTCTCACCTGAGATGGTGGTCAGGAGGTTGAGGCCCTCCAGGACGTCCATCTGCTGGAAGCGCCGGCGGTTGATGAGGCTGTACACCTTGCCCTGCCCGCTGCGGTCCAGCAGCATCAGCCCGTTCTCGGTGCCCACCAGCAAGTTGACCCCTGTGGATCCCGCCGGGGGGGGAGGGGAAGGAGACGGTGAGCATCCTGCCCCGGGAGCCCCCCTCCCCCCTCTCCACCGTCACCAGCTCTCACCCCAAAGGGCCGCACAGAGGATCTCCGAGTTGAAGCGCTTTTTGTACTTGCGGATCTCCGGCGTGTCGCTGTGGGGCCGTGTGTTGGTGGGGTTGACGTTGACCACAGAGCCCTTCCGGGCCTCCAGCTGCAACTGCTCCAGCCGCCCAGGGTCGAATGCTGCCAACGGGGGAGGCCAAAAGGCTCAGGGGCCGGAAACTTCACAGGCTGCTGCCCGAGGTCCTCGGCCGGGAGAGCCCTCCAGCCGCACAGGAGGGCAGCCACGGAATGGAAATGACCAGGGAGACCTACCAACCGGAGGGCACAGCCCCAGACCCCCCATGGCCCTTCCGTTTCGGCCCACCTGCAAATCCGGACAGAGTCCCTGGGCAGCCTCCCGACCGTCAGTGCCAGGAGCGGCTCTGAAATCGTGGCCAAGCAGCACCCGTCTCTTCCTCCCCCACTACTCACCAGTGATGGGGATGGTGTCTCCTCCCCCAGGGGAGCTTTGATAGATGCCCAGATCCACAAACATGGTGAAGGAGCTCTTGCCAGGCGCCTTGACGAGCCCCCGCGACTGGTACTGCAGGCAGGAGAGGGCAGGAGGGAGAGGGGGGCTCAGCCGGGGATGCTCCCAGAGGGCCGAGCAGCTCTCACCTGAAGTGGCCAGCAGTGATCCCAGTGCCAAGGGAGCGGCCAATGCCGAGGGCGCTGGGCAGAGCCCTGGAGAGGCGATAACCGTGGCTCTGTGCCAGGGCCCTCCTCCGGCCCCCTGGGGCTCCCTACCCACTCACGTCGGTGGCCCCGTCCTTGGCGGGCGAGGAGGAGCCGTTGCTGCTTTTGGCTTCCGTGGGCGAGTGGCTGGGCTGGACCACGTCAGGCAGGTTGGTGTAGCCGTTGCTGTCACTGTGCAGGAGGCCACGCTCCTCCTCGGGGGTCTGGGGGGGGGGGAGAGAGGGGGCTCAAGGCAGGGCCGGGCCAAAGAGGAGGCTGCCCCCCCTCTCCTTCTCCCCGGTTACACTGCAGCCCACCAGGCATCATTGGGAAGTTGATCAAAGGGCCAAACCATTGGGGTCCTTGGGAGGGCCCGATTCCTCCCAAGGCTGTGAGAGCCGAGCGGGGAGCCTGAGGACACAACCCCCCCCCCTGTGTTGCGCACTGAAGAGGGGCACGGCTGGCTCCCACCCTCCTGCCCAGTGAGCCCTGGGCACCTTCCCGGCAGGATGCCGGGGGCCGAGGAGGCTTCTCACCCGCTGCACCAGCATGGTGCCCTCGCCGTAGGAGCTCTCGGAGCCCCCGCTGCCCCCCGTCAAGTCCTCCACGTCGTGCACCACCATGGTGCTGACCGAGTCCGTGTCGCCATCCCTGCAGCCGGAGAAAGCCGCCCGGAGCATCAGGGGCCGAAGGAGACCGCCAGCCCCGGAGGACGCCGGAAGAGAGGCCGAGCACCCCCTGCGCCCCCAGCTCCTCACCTGGCCCCAGGGGTGCTCGCGCCAGGCTCCGAGCGCTCCCCCTCGCCTGCCTCCTCCTCTTCCTCCTCCTCCTCCTCTTCCTCGCTGGAGTCCGCCTCTTCGCTGGAGGAGGAGTAGTCCAGGGCCTTCTTGAGCGGCTTGGGGGCCGCCTCCTCCGGGCGCTCCTTCAGCAGGACGAAATTCTAGAGGGGGGAGGAGGGGGGGGTTCGGACATTGATCAAGGGGCCAAACTATTGTGGGTGTTGGGAGGGGCCAATTCCTCTCCCCCTCCCCCGGTTGCCAAGAACACGGCTGGGAGAGGAGCCCGAGGACACAACCACACTCCGGTATTGTGGACAGTTGGCTGCCCCCCCCCCCGCCCAGCAACCCTGGGGGACCTTCCCAGCAGGATCCAGGACTCAGCAGAGGGAGGGGCAGGAAGAAAGTGGAAGGGGGGACAGAGATGGGGAGGGGGCC